TTTAGTGAAAGCAATGACAAGAAAGTACCTACTTATTTCTTACCATGACATTTCCTAAGGTTAAAGTCCTGCAAAGTCATTGATACAAGCAATTATATAGTAGGCAACATATGTTATGAACCCATAATTATTATTTTCAAATAATATGTTAACCAGCTTATGACACATGGAAGTATAGAATGGTTTACAGTTTAAACTTGTTACGTTTCATCACGAACTAAAACCGCTAACTCTAAAGCGATGCGTCACTCTGGTCACTCGCTACTTCTGTGCAAACAGACCAAAAAAGCACTTTAACAAATAAGTAAAAGCATTCACCTCTAGCATTTATATCGACGTGTTTGAAAAGCAGTGAAGAAATAAAATCTATTCTTACATACGAAATAATTTTACCTTAAGTTCGGAATGTGTGTCAGATAGCCACCGCTTGTCAAAACGACCACGTTCAATAAACAACCTATACGAGAAGCTTTAACTTAAAACAATCAGGAATACGCTCGGATACATCAGTAGAAAGTGCGTCGTGGCAGTATTCGTTGTTAATTACAAGAAAACAGGACTGCAATGTACGTACGCGGTACAGCAACGAAACCACGTGTGAAGGTACCGGTAGCGCGCGATTTCACAATAAAAGTTGCACTTTAAACTTACCGATCGGTTTTGAAAATTCTTGAGCACTTAAGACACTAATGTAACGATCGTTCGACGATCAATTATCCTATGAATTTACAAATAAGTTGTAATTTATGACGCTTCTATAGCAAGGAAGCCAGCCACCATCACTACAAAATCGTAAAAGACATATTGAGCATAGACAACATTATTCAAAAAGTTTTGATAACTTGAAAGCATAGATAATTACGTTAGAACGGTTTTCTTTCGCATGGTCTGTGGAGAACAAGAATAAAAACAGTCCAAGTAGGTAAGTAGTGCCAACTCAAATCCACTTAGCAGGGTGGCGCCACTGTACTACAGATATCTGAATTTTTCAAAACTTTATTTAACAAATTCATTACTATGATCTTCTTAAAATAAGGTACATTTCTAAAACCAAATACGTCAGAAAATGTTTAAAATTGTAAATTGTAATACTGCGAATCAACAATATTGTGATTATCGTGTCTATTATTTGTATATACAGTTTTAACTATAGAACAACATTAAAAGGGATTTTTTTTAACGTAACGCGAAGAGCGAAGTTTTATGACTTATTTTTTGATAATATAGTGTTTTTTTTAGTTGAGATTAAAATGCGTAGTAGTGGTAGATTAGTAGCTGTTCAGCTTTTGCGAAAGCGCAAAATTGTGTGAAAAAGTTACTGGACGTGGCTTTTCGAGTTCTTGCAAAAAGTGCACTACTACGCTCTCAGTAAATAGCCACAATTTTAGAGAGAGAGAGAAGAGAGAGAGAGAATGTACTTTATTGCACATCAAAAATCAATTAACATTAAAAAACAGTCAACAAACAGATATATTTGTACAATAGGCGGTCTTATCGCTAAAAGCGATCTATTTCAGACAACCAATTTATTTTTATTTACAGCAATTCTGAAAAGATAAAAATACAGCAGGTATGTTGCGGTGTACAAAAATTAATACATTATGAAAATACATACATACAATAAATTGATACATACCGTTTACATATAGAAATCACTATATGATTTATATACCAATATACTTACATACATACGTTGTGTAGGTGGTGTATTTAAGTTGTGTGAGTAGAGCATTTACGTTGTAGATGTCTATGGGCTGAAGTAACCACTTAAAACTAGGTAGGCTGTGAGCTCGTCCACCCATCTAAGCAATAAAAAAATACGCATATTAATGATGAACATGTATATAGCATGCATCAGATTGGTAGGCAGCGGCTTGGCTCTGCCCCTGGCATTGCTGAAGTCCATGGGCGACGGTAACCACTCACCATCAGGTGGGCCGTATGCTCGTGTGCCTACAAGGGCAATAAAAATAAAAAATAAAGATTTTGAAATCTTTTGTCCTGAGACGATCACTAATAGGCTTATTACACTTGGCTGAATTCAGACGACTGAATTCAGTCAAGTGTAATAGCATTAAGTAAGTTAGTCTACTGAATTCAGTAGCAAGGATGGTTTCTGACTGACTGAATCATTTAGAAGCCTAATTAGAAACGCATTTAGGAAGGTGTAATCGCATTTAGTTACTGAATGGTTCCATTCAGTCGTCCCATAGTTTTCCGTGCGTAAGGACGTTTTAGTTTGTTTATTGCTTCCGAATAAAAAGTTAATTTCGGTCGCCTTTATTTAATGTGCCAGACATTTATAAATAGCCCGACATGTTTCAGGGATAGTTTTTGTCTTCAGGGGTTGGGACATTGAAGAACTAAATTTTAAATCTTGATACGAATTTCCTGCTGCAAGAAATCTTAATGTTACAACCAATCTTTCTTTTAGACTTATACTATCGTAGGATTAGATATGTAATAGTTATTTAATAGATATATAATAGACTATCGTAGGATATTATCCTGCTTTTGAATAAACGGTGTCACAAGGTTTAATATTAGGTCAAACGAGATCGAATCCATTTACAGATATTTTTTTAAGTCTGCTGGTTCTAAATCACTCATAATGTTCATATTTGCTAACATTCCGCACAGCAAGAATATGAAACAAAAAACAAAATAAAACAAAAAATTTGTTGTTGTCTAGACAATACTGGGGCCATCCTTTTACGCACACGACACGTCTTACTTCGTCGTGTTTAAACTGACAATTGATTCAGTAACTGAATTTAGAACAGTGTAATCAGAAGCTTCTAAATTTGCTTCTGAATTCAGTCGACTAAATTCAGCCAAGTGTAATAAGCCTTTAACAAAGAGCTGTAGAAGATCACCAAGCAGACACCAATAGAGAAGGAGATCCTTACGCGGAAGTGGCATTGGATTGGTCACTTATTGAGAAAGCCCGATACCCACCTATCCAAGAGAGCACTGACCTGGAAAGTGTCTGGCAAAAGGAAGAAAGGCCGTCCCAGAACAACTTGGCGTCGCTCGGTGGATCAGGAGCTAGGGATTAAATGCGTATTTGAGGTGGTTATTAACTGTTTGGTGTCTATGTAAGTGTCCAAATGTGAGAAAATGAAATAAAGCCGCTCAACGTAGCTTCTCGGGATCTTTCAAAAAGTCAATTGAGAAAGTTTCTGTAAATAACCGCCATTTTACTGAGAGTATATTTTATCCCATATCATCTCATCTTATTTTATTTCGCTTTCATTTCATGCTTTGTTTCATATTAATCAACTTCATTTCATTTCATAATATCGACGCTTGAAAGGCAAACGTGACTAAGCGACAATGCGTGAACTTTACAGTAGACTAATTTAAAGTTGAAATACCTGAAAACAAAATTTATTTTAATGAATCTAGCTGTAGTAGAGTCTAGCTAGTAGCTGTAGGATTGAAATGATTTTAATAGACCTAGAAATATATTTTGTTTGCACATCGAATATGATTATTGCCTATCATTTATGTACAAAGCAGTTATAGTCGCTTAGTCATGTTTGCCTTTCAAGCGTCGATATCATTTTATATAAACAAAGTTTTCATTAAAATTAAAATAATACCTAAAGGTCTTCGTTACCAGGTCATAAAATTTCTTACAAAAAAAACCATCAACATTCTAGGACCTAGGACCAGGTGAATGAAGTTAGCCCCTCAAAAAAAATTTTTTTTCCTATTTTATACTTATTTTCTATTAATTCGTTTGTTCATCATTTGTTCATGATTGTTCACTGTTAATAATTGTTTGTTCTGCATTTATTTATTTAAAAAAAATATTTAAAAATATACCTACAAGTTAGCCCCTCTAATGCAATTTTTTATATTTTTTCATCCTTAATGACTCGTAAATATTTATTTTCGATTGTTCTTATATAAAACACGTTTGTCCTCTTTCGAAATTACTCGTTTTTTGTTTAATTTACTATTTTTATTAGTTGAATAAATGTATGCAAAATATGTGTACTGCGCATGCGTCAACTATAATGCCTAAACTTTCTACGCGGTTTTAATCGTGAAAAAAAAAAACAAATATAAATCCTGAAGGAGCAATTAATTGGTACACAGTTTAATTAAAAAAATTTAAAAATAAATAAATGAAATAATGTGCATTGGCGTTAAGTTAGACCAAATACATTTTTTCCATCCTCTTACCTATCGTATTAAAATGTTATTTTACTAATGTTAGGAATATAATTTCGACTGTGTAAAAAAGTTATTATAATGTATACCTATATTATCTCTTGAAAGATAAATAATGAACATATTTACTTATTTGTTTATATTACCTATGTGAACTCCCTATCTTTTTTATACCTTCATAACGATAAGTAGGAGGATGGAAAAAATGTATTTGGTCTAACTTAACGCCAATGCACATTATTTCATTTATTTATTTTTTAATTTTTTTAATTAAACTGTATACCAATTAATTGCTCCTTCAGGATTTATATTTGTTTTTTTTTTCACGATTAAAACCGCGTAGAAAGTTTAGGCATTATAGTTGACGCATGCGCAGTACACATATTTTGCATACATTTATTCAACTAATAAAAATAGTAAATTAAACAAAAAACGAGTAATTTCGAAAGAGAACAAACGTGTTTTATATAAGAACAATCGAAAATGAATATTTACGAGTCATTAAGGATGAAAAGATATAAAAAATTGCATTAGAGGGGCTAACTTGTAGGTATATTTTTAAATATATTTTTTAAATAAATAAATGCAGAACAAACAATTATTAACAGTGAACAATCATGAACAAATGATGAACAAACGAATTAATAGAAAATATGTATAAAACAGGAAAAAAAATTTTTTTTGAGGGGCTAACTTCATTCACCTCCTAGGACCACTGAAGTAGGAAAAGGTCTATGCATAGATTATACACTTAAGGTCTATGCCTAGGACCTAGAACTGACTTTATGTTAAGTGTATAATCTATGGACTTGATTTTATGAATTTTTATGTAAATAGTAACAAAACGTCTCACAACTCTTTTAAATTAATTAAATAAATATAAAACATGTCCGCCGAGAAAAGAACGGCCGATGACGAAAAAGCTGCTGGAGAATGTGACGGTGATGATCCAGAAAACTGGATTGGACCAATGCCTTCAGAGGCGGTAAAACCCAAACCAAAAAAACGAAAAGGTGTTCTTTTTTTACTAAACAAACTTTAAAATTAAGTGCTAAGTATCTTTAATTGACGAAAATAATTCTGTAGAACCTAAAAGAAAAAACAATTTTGATAAAATTATGGTTTACGATACTTTAATTTTAATCTTACATTTAAAGCGTTAGTTGTGGTTCACGGTTCACCTGCTATTAAGCGGTTACTCATGTTCCAAATTTAATGAGTGAAACTATAGACCGAACTAGTGTAGAAATTTTAAAGTTTTTGTTTTTAAACTTTCTTTCCTTTGTTGGCAAAGACTCGTAGTATCTCCAGTCTTTTTAATATACATCTAGTATTTAAATATTCACTAACATGACCTTATATTTTCAGTATTAGAATTTGAAACACTATACCTGGAGAATTTGCCTTCATCAGAAACATATGAGAGAAGTTTCATGCACAGGGATATTGTTACACACGTACTTGTCACAAAAACTGATTTTGTGGTAACAGCAAGTCAGGATGGTCATTTGAAATTTTGGAAGAAACAAGTAAGTATATTTCCTTTATGTTAGTTGGACAAAATGGTTGTTCTGATGCTAGGATAATTCCAGCACTGGATAAATTATACCAATGTTTTATAACAATTCTCTTTCCCTACTTCTTCCTCAGTGCTGTACCTTAATCTTCGAAGTTATTTGTTATAAATATAGACTTTTATTTATAACATTTAGCATCAGGTNAAATTTTGGAAGAAACAAGTAAGTATATTTCCTTTATGTTAGTTGGACAAAATGGTTGTTCTGATGCTAGGATAATTCCAGCACTGGATAAATTATACCAATGTTTTATAACAATTCTCTTTCCCTACTTCTTCCTCAGTGCTGTACCTTAATCTTCGAAGTTATTTGTTATAAATATAGACTTTTATTTATAACATTTAGCATCAGGTCTGGGATATGTGTACTTGCATTGATTGAATTACACTGGGAACTTAATTATGTTGTGCACACCATGTATGTTATTTATAGGTACACATTACATCCTGTACATACCGTACAACAATTGTAGTTTTTGATATATTTTATTATGTACTGTATACTTTTGATATTAAACAATAAATCTAATGGTTTCATTAATATCTTTTACTTGAATATTTCCAGGAAGAAGGTATAGAATTCGTAAAGCACTTCAGATGTCACTTAGCACCAATCTCCCATGTCGCAGCAAACAGCACCGGTACTTTACTCTGCACTGCATCACCAGAGAAGACAATAAAGGTGTTTGATGTTGTTAACTTTGGTTAGTATTGAGATGTCCAGTGGCCACGGATTGTCGAAAAATTCAGTTCTGTTAATATTCTGCAAATTCTGAACTATTACTGCCACAGTATTCGTGTCCCTGTTTTCAAGAATTAGTCATTTGTATTTTCATTAATTAAAACTATTGTAGTGCTCATCACACTAGAATCCAGAGTAAATGTAAAGAGAAATTTAAAGTTAACATTTAAATAATTTCTAAATAATAGGGGCTAAAGTATGAAATTGCTGTTTTATTGTAATAAGTACTTCGAATTGACATAGAAACTTCATGGTTTGAGATTTTTCAGTGAAACTTTTTTGAAATGGTACCTGTTTCAGTGAAACTTTTTTGAAATGGTACCTGTGAGGTTCTTCTTTTAAAAAATGTGCAACATTCGATTATAGACTTCAAGTTGTTTTTTTTTTATTCAGCTTAGACAAGAAAGATAGATACTTCGAAAATTCGAGTGATTTTTTAATACGAGCTCTGACGTGGAACTAACGCTGCAGAAAGCTCTCAATATCAATGTTGCGTTTGGAGAGGGGACTGCTAATGAACGCACCGTGCGATTTTGGCTTAAACGCTTTCGTCATTGAAATTTTAGTTTGAAGAATGAACCACGTGGAAGACCGCCCACACCTGTGAATAACAATGAATTGAAAGATATGGTGGAAGCCAATCCGAGACAAACTACCCAGGAATTAGCGGCATGGCTTAACATTACCTTACCAACAATATTAACTCATTTGCGTCAAATCAATAAAATAAAAAAAAAATTAAAAATGGGTGCCTCATGATTTGACTGATCTGCAGAAAGAAACGCATGTTGAAACTTGTGTTGCCTTGTCGAATCGATACAGAAATCAAGGAATATTATATAATACAATGGATTCTTTACGATAACCGTAAGCGAAAAATGCAATAAATGACCCCAGTGCAACCGCCACAACAGTGTCCTAAAGCAAAGCTACTAATAAAAAGGTAACGGTAACTGTTGGTGGTCTCAGCATGGTGTTATACACTATAGCTTTCTCCGATTTGGTCAAGCAATAATAGCAGATGTCTACTGTGCCGAACTCCGAACAATGAAAGCAAAACTTGCAGTGAAATAGCCCCGACTCATGCATCGATTTTCACCATTATTGCTCCATGATACTGCGAGACCTCATACAGCACGAAAAACCGTTTTAACTCTACAGCAAATGCAATTAGAAACCATTCACTCACCCTCAGTATTCGCCAGACCTAGCCCCAACGGACTAGCATTTTTTTCGTGATTTCGACAATTTTCTACTTGATAAAAAGTTTTCTTCCCAGGAGGCAGTACAAAATGCTTTCACACAGTTTGTAGAATCTAGATCACCAGAGTTCTATCCTATCGCAAAGGCATAAATGACCTTCCTATTAGATGGCAGCAATGTATTCATAATTAAATAAAAAAATAATTATGTTAAATAAATTAAAAAAACGAGTTTAAATTTTTCTGTACAAATCGGCAATTTCATACTTTAACCCCTAATACTATAGTTTTATTATTAATATATTTTTTTCACCTGGTTTTAAGTCGTTACCAGTGCCCATAGTCATAAATGTAAATATAAATGCCAATGTAAACGTCGCCACCCACCTTGAGGCATGAGTTGTATTTTCCTTGGGCCCGCAGTCTGCTCCCAACACCTTGCAGATGCAAATAGGCAGCATATTTTATATATTTTTACTGTTTGTGTGTGTATTATGGTGTATATTTTTTGACAAATCTCTAATGTTGTTCTTTTACATTTCAGATATGATTAACATGATCTCAATAGATTTTGAGCCATATCGAGTGGAGTGGGTGCATTCCGCTGGTGACCCCATCTCAGCTTTAGCTGTGTGAGTGTTTATTATGATAGGCAATTATTATAACACCAGCAATGTGATATGAGGCATGAGGTTTTATTGGAAAACTAATTATTTCTTCAATAAAACAAATAAAATAAAAGAGCACACATTGCAGCACATGGCGTGGCTTTTTAACAAGTCGCTTATATTTACAACACGTGGCACATGTTGCGTAGGTATGCAACATGTGGCGTTGCTTTTCAACATGTTGCGTAGGTTTGCCACACGAGGCGTAGACTTGCAACACATGATGTTGCTTTTCAACAAGTTGCAACGACTCTTTAGTCCGTATATATTGCATAAATACTACTGCCCTTCAAACATTAAGCCGTCATAGTCTCAATTGTATAACTGGTATAAGGACTGTTCCACCCTTCAAAGTGAAACACATCAAGTGCTTCAAGACAAATAGGCACAATGGCGGTAACAACTCATGCAGACTGCATATGCACCACCCTTGGTTAATTAGTATAGAATGCCATAGGCATTATGTTAGCACTGATCAATAAAGTGCAAATTCTGGTTAAACTTTGCAGTGAGTTATCATAATACTTAGAGAACCCCCTTGCTCATTTTTTCTATTGAATCCTTTAGACGCCTTTTGCGAAACTCAGAAGATAATATGATGGAGTGATGACGATCTTTTAAATTTCAAACATCTTCAAAATTCAATTATATCGTACACGGAAACCTTAGAATTTTAATAAAACACCATAGTGAGTCACGTAATTCCTTTTTATGATATAATTGTGTTTTTGAAGTGAAAACTTCTTTAGAATCGTTGTGATTTCAAACCGGATGCAACGGAAAAAACGACAGGTAAGAGACACAAATACAAAAGAATGAGACAGAAATATACATACTATTTTTAATACAGCGCCATCTGTGAGATTTTTTAATACTAACGTGTGTATGAAAGCTCTTGTAGTGAATTTTAATTTAGGATTATATGTGAAATTAAAATATCAATTCACAGAGGGCGCTACCTTACAATTATTTACTAATGACAAAATTTTACATATACTTAAGACGTTTAGGATAATTGTACATATTTGAATTTTGGAAGGTTTCACTTCTACCACGTGTGAATTGCACACATGTTTTTTGTTTCATCTCCCATCTCGCTTACTCACCAGCTCGGACAGAAACACAAATAAGATTCACGTGTACGACGGCACGCAAGCTTCGGGCACACCGCTGCACACCTTCGAGACTNACAAAATTTTACATATACTTAAGACGTTTAGGATAATTGTACATATTTGAATTTTGGAAGGTTTCACTTCTACCACGTGTGAATTGCACACATGTTTTTTGTTTCATCTCCCATCTCGCTTACTCACCAGCTCGGACAGAAACACAAATAAGATTCACGTGTACGACGGCACGCAAGCTTCGGGCACACCGCTGCACACGTTCGAGACTCTGCACCAGACCGCGGTAGCAGTCATCAAGTACAACCCGGTCTTCGAAACTGCTGTCTCCGTCGATAAGGTACCTTAGGTTCTTTTTTTTGTATTGCTTAGATGGGTGGTCGAGCTCACAGCCCACCTGGTGTTAAGTGGTTACCGGAGCCCATAGATATAAGTTCTAAGGTCTCAAGTATAGTTACAACGGCTGCCCCACCCTTCAAACCGAAACGCATTACTGCTTCACGGCAGAACTAGGCAGGGTGGTGGTACCTACCCGTGCGAACTCACAACATTTTTAAAGTCATCATGACTAGATGTATAAGATAATATTAGGATAAGTAATTGTATTGAACTATGCAGTTGCATGTAGAAATAAACGTACATATTATATTATATGCACGAATGAAATTCAAATGGCCAGTTTTGTAAAAGCAACTTCATAGGTTTCAACCTATTATTACTATTTCATTACATATTATTTTATGTGAGTTTGTTTGAATAAAGTTCTTGAACACTAAACATACCATAACGGATCAAATGACCCATTTTGAACTTTTGCATTAAAAATTCACATATCATCTTATTGCTTCTGCACATTTGACTTCATGACTTTTTCTTACAAATTAATCTACAGTTATTATACTTTTTTTGTTGTTATGTTTTGTTTATTTTGAGTAATACTTGTCATATACCATTATCTACCCGCTATGGTAGATACAGGTCCCAGTAAGTGTAGGTATGGTCAGTTTACACGTCATTTCGGATCCTCCCGATCCACTAATGGTGCTTTTAGGTACCTCAAGCACCGGTCATCGTTCTTGTCGAACCCGTCGCTTGCGACTAAGGGCTCGACGAGTAAATTAACCCACAGACACAGCCCACTGAGTTTCTCGCCGGATCTTCTCAGTGGGTTGCGTTTTCGATCCGGTGGTAGATTCTGCGAAGCACGGCTCTTGCTAGGGTTCGTGTTAGCAACGTCATCAGGTTTGAGCCCCGTGAGCTCACCTACTAGTTAAGGTTACGCTGATATAGCCTCTCAAGGTTATAAGCTTAGGTAGGAAAAAAAAATATCAGTGTTAAACTTTAATAAGTCATGCACTGAAAGAAAGTGATGAAAATGAGCTGTTTTTCTGCAGGCTGGCATAGTCGAGTACTGGACGGGTCCGAAGCACGAATACAATTTCCCCAAGACGGTGAGGTTTCAGTCGAAGCTCGACACGGACCTGTACGACTTCGTGAAGAACAAGACTTGTCCGACGGCGCTGGACTTCTCGCCGGACGGCAGAAAGATGGCCTCGATAAGCCTCGACAGGAAGGTAAGTTTAATTCGTAAACTGGTAAACGACCGTAATTTGGGTGATAGATGTCAGATTCATAAAAATCGACACGAGGATATGGAGATGATAATTTTTGTAATTGTGTCACTTAAACGCTTGAAGAGTTCTTAATTTTAATGAAATTGGCGTTCTGTACGGGAGGAATATGAAGTCAATTTTTGAAGTGAAACTCCTTTAGAATTGTTGTGATTTCAAACTCGATGAAACGAAATGAAACGAAACGAAAAAATAAGTGTGCCGCGATTGGCTTGCCGAAGCGGCTCCGAGCGGCGCCGACAAATCACGAAGCGCTCCACGCGGTCTCGCGTCCCCGACTTGTTCAGTGTGTTTTTGACGTCCGTGCACGCTGTTGTGGCTTTTTTTTTGTTTGTTATCAAGATGTCGCTGCACGTAAATTCAACAATTCCTGAATCGCGGTGACGAAATTTTACACAGTTGATAGACGTTCTCGTATTTCTCTTACTAAATTATACTTATCTGGCGTAGGGTTACCGTGATTATGCAGGCGGTTCCCCCAGGGTAGGGCTCCATTGCACTGCGGAGTAGTTGACCCTTGCGATTATTAAAGTTATACTTCTTTAGGCGCGTTATCAAAAATTTATGAGAGTGAAATTTTACGATGCGCGCGCACCGTGACACAAAATTAACAGAATGAAGTTGCCCACTAAATCGCTCATTACAATACGACCGACGTAACTTGGCGAGTCTGAATATAGCCGAACCGTACCGAGAATTACCGAATTTATACGATGTCAAGAAAAGGGATGTCCAATATGCGTGTTTGAGGATGTTGTTTAATCGATTTTCTTTCAAATTGATTAAAATAAACAAAAAAATGAAATAAACTTAATAAAAATAAAGTATAACTTCTTACGCGCGTACATATGTACACGCACCCTTTTTTTTTGTTAAATATATTTAATTTATCAAACAATGCTAAGAATACCGCATTACATAAATTAAGCAACAAGATCATACAAATGGACCTAAATATTCCCACAGTGAAAGAGGAAATAGTAGCTTACAGCAAAAAATACCAAGCCAGGTTATCGACGCACGTCGCACGTCGGACCTAGGAGGCACAGGAGCAGTGCAGTTTACTAGATTAAGGAGGCACAGTATACCTAGCTTACAGAATAGAAATTAAATCTTACAATAAAAGATGATGATGTCACTGGATATCTCATTCTGTTAATATCACTATTAAGATTATAAACAGCCAAAGGAATAGCTCAGTGTTAACTAAAACAGATCGCTACGAGACATTAAAACAAAAGAGAAAAAAAAAAAACAAAATGTGTGCAATTCACACGTGGTAGAAGTGAAACCTTCCAAAATTAAAATACAATTATCCTAAACGTCTTAAGTATATGTAAAATTTTGTCATTAGTAAATAATTGTAAGGTAGCGCCCTCTGTGAATTGATATTTTAATTTCACGTATAATCCTAAATTAAAATTCACTACAAGAGCTTTCATACACACGTTAGTATTAAAAAATCTCACAGATGGCGCTGTATTAAATAGTATGTATATTTCTGTCTCATTCTTTGCTGGCTTCATCTTACACATTTTTGTATTTGTGTCTCTTACCTGTCGTTTTTTCCGTTGCATCCGGTTTGAAATCACAACGATTCTAAAGAAGTTTTCACTTCAAAAAATAATCAAAGTATGCACCGTTGTTATCTATGCACTTTTGCCATCTCACAGGTAGTTAATTGATCCCTCGCTTGAAGAGTTCCACATTATATTTTCTCAGGTGCGAGTGTTCCACTTCCTGACCGGCAAACTGCACAAGGTGATCGACGAGAGCCTGCAGCGGTTCCAGGAGTTGCAGCATCAGACGCAGCAGCTACCCAACATGGAGTTCGGGAGGAGGTATCGCACTTACTATTTTGCTTGCGGATCTTAAGTTACAATGTGATTTGTTTTTTTTTATTACTACATCATGGCAGCCTCACTCGAAAATGTCGAATTGGAAAAATAAATAAAAAATAAGTCGCAGCCACGGCGCGATAAAGATAAAACGTATAGGGTATATATTTACATTTACTGGTGGTAGGACCTCTTGTGAGTCCGCACGGGTAGGTACCACCGCCCTACCTATTTCGGCCGTGAAGCAGTAATGCGTTTCGGTTTGAAGGGCGGGGCAGCCGTTGTGACTATACTGAGACCTTAGAACTATATCTCAAGGTGGGTGGTGCTTTTACTTCGTAGATTTTTTTTATTGCCCTTGTAGGCAGACGAGCATACGGCCCACCTGATGGTGAGTGGTTACCGTCGCCTATGGACTGCAGCAATGCCAGGGGCAGAGCCAAGCCGCTGCCTACTAGATGTGTATGGGCTCCGGTAACCAGTCGCGTGTTCCCAGGATGGCGACGGAGCGCGACCTGGAGAAGTCTGAGTGCGTGTCGCTGGGCAACGTGGCGTTCGACTGCAGCGGCCACTTCGTGCTGTACGGCACGCTGCTGGGCGCCAAGCTCGTCAACCTGGCCACCAACCGCTGCGCCGCCACCTTCGCCAGGACGGAGAACCTCAGGCCGCTGCACCTCGCACTCTTCCAGGTGACAGCGCCGTAGTCCCTCGTAATTGTACCTGAAGATAATAAGTCAGCTAAGAATGTCCTGCAAATGTAGCTATTGTGACATACAGATCCTTCTGGCTCTTGTTGAGGAGCAAGGTTAGAAGCTACTGCCAACCAGCAGTTGTGGCGAACACAACTACCTCTTGACAACTAAAAAAATATTATTATCCGCCGCCGTAAATGCAGCCACCCACCTTGAGATATGAGTTCTAAGGTCTCAGTATAGTTATAACGGCTGCCCCACCCTTGTGCGGACTCACCAGAGGCCCTACCACTAGTATTGTACCTACTGTCTACCACTATTGTAGACACTATGGACGAATTCACGTGTAACGAGTCTCCGATATATCGACTTTCGCTCTCAACGAAGAAATATCCGGAACTCATTAAAACCAAAAGCATTAGTAAGAACCCGTTCAATGTCAGTATTGTTAATGTAGATAACCGCGCAACTTGAAAACAATACATAACTTTTTACTGGTGGTAGGACTTCTTGTGAGTCCGCGCGGGGAGGTACCACCACCCCGCATATTTTTGCCGTGAAGCAGTAATGCGTTTCGCTTTGAAGGGTGGGGCAGCCGTTGTAACTATACTGAGACCTTAGAACTTATATCTCAAGAAGGGTGGCGTATTTACGTTGTAGATGTCTATGGGCTCCAGTAACCACTTAACACTAGGTGGGCTGTGAGCTCGTCCACACAACTAAGCAATAAAAAAAGCATAACTATTGTTAGAGTATCACTCGGACCTGCCCAAGGCTGCTTGCTGGGATGCAGCCCCGCGTGGGCCTAGGCTGATACCGGAGCACCGCGCCTCTATCGCGGAGGACTCCGGCGCTTAAACAATACAATGAAGTAAAGCGAACGTTTCTTTTTTTTCCTACCTAAACTGATAGCCTTGAGAGGCTAGATTAGCGTAACCTTAACTAGTAGGTGAGCTCGCGGGACTCAAACCTGACGACGTTGCTAACACGAACCCTAGCAAGAGCCGTGCTTCGCAGAATCTACCACCGGATCGGAAACGCGACCCACTAAGAAGATCCGGCGAGAAACTCAGTGGGCTGAGTTTGTGGGTTAATTTACTCGTCAAACCGATGACCGTCGACCGTCGAACGATGACCGGTGAACGTTTCTCCGCAGGGCCGCCTCAACCAGCCCAAGGTGGCGTCGACCCTCGAGATGGAGGGCTCCGAGAACCCCGCGCTGCTGACCGTGAAGACGGACCCCACGCTGTTCTGCACGGCCTACAAGAAGAACAGGTTCTATCTGTTCTCCAAGCGCAGCCCCGACGACGTCAAGGGCCCGGACAACGACAGAGACATCTTCAACGAGAAGCCGTCCAAGGAGGATATCATCTCCGCCACCGAGGGGCAAGGTGAGAACTGAACGTCTTACAGCAGTAGATACTTCTGTGGACTCGAGCAAAATCGGTTCCTACCACGTCCGAAAGTATTTACTTATATACATGAATATCATAATTATTTTTAATTTGTACATAAATGACTGAGAACTTAATGAAAATACACAAAAGATAGACCACGATATTGATATATAAGTCGTCGTGGCCTAAAGGATAAGACGTCCGGTGCGTTCGTATCGAGCGATGCGCCGGTGTTCGAATCCCGCAGGCGGGTACCAATTTTTCTAACGAAATACGTACCCAACAAATGTTCACGATTGACTTCTACGGTGAAGGAATAACACCGTGTAATAAAAATCAAACCCACAAAATTATAAGTTGCGTAGTTACTGGTGGTAGGACCTCTTGTGAGTCCGCGCGGGTGGGTACCATCACCTTGCCTATTTTTGCCGTGAACCAGTAATGCCTTTCGGTTTGAAGGACGGGGCAGCCGTTGTAACTATACTGAGACCTTACAACTTATATCTCAACGTGGGTGCCGTATTTACGTTGTAGATGTCTATGGGCTCCAGTAACCACTTAACACCAGGTGGGCTGTGAGCTCGTCAACACATCTAAGCAATAAAAAAAAAAAACCTACATTTTGAGATCGGTTATAGCAAAAAAAATATGTATATCAGTTAGTGACGGACATAATCTATAGTAATATATAACATTACACTGGTTTTTACGGATGTTCCGTTACAACTACTGAATCATGCATCCGATTGACTTGAAAATTGCCCATGTAGAAAATACAACGGCTGCCCCACCCTTCAAACCGAAACGCATTACTGCTTCATGGCAGAAATAGGCAGGGCGGTGGTACCTACCCGCGCGGACTCACAAGAGGTCCTACCACCAGTAATCCGGTTCGGCTGATATAAGCGCCTTATAAATCGTGTCTATTGCAGGAGTCCAGCGGATCTACGAGCAGGCGGTCATACACACGACGCTGGGCGACATCCACGTGCGGATCTTCGGGAAGGACGTCCCGAAGACGGCCGAGAACTTCTGCGTCCACGCCAGGAACGGCTACTACAACGGACACATCTTCCACCGGGTCATCAAGGGCTTCATGGTGCAGACCGGGGACCCCACAGGTGAGGGCGCCCGCCCCCAAAACCACGTCCAGATGCAGTGAAACTATCACTGTCGGCACCCACGTTGAGACGTTTTTTTTTAGTTTTTTTATTGCTTAGATGGATGGACGAGCTCACAGCCCACATGGTATTAAGTGGTTACTAGAGCCCATAGACATCTACAACGTAAATGCGCCATCCACCTTGAGATATAAGTTCTAAGGTCTCAAGTATAGTTAACGGCAGAAACAGGCAGCGCGGTGGTACCCACCCGCGCGGACTCACACGAGGTCCTACCAGCAGTAACAGTGCTAGTATGAGTATAGACGAGGGGTTGGTCCGCAGGCACGGGCACGGGCGGGGAGAGCATCTGGGGCGGCGAGTTCGCGGACGAGTTCCGCGCGCACCTCAAGCACGACCGGCCCTACACGCTCAGCATGGCCAACGCCGGGCCCGACACCAACGGCAGCCAGTTCTTCATCACGCTGGCGCCCACGGTACGTGCCTCAAAACATTATTACCGCCCCTGTTCAGACTGTTAGTGTTACTTTTACCTTTTTATTTACGAACTAACGGCCCGCCCTCGCTTCGCGGAAACCTTAAATTTTATTATTGATAGCCGAGTCCCACGATGTTACCCGCGGTTATTGTCGTCCCGCGGGACGAAGCTAGTCTAAAAAAGTTACTCTTTATATCATCAACTACCTATCAGTGAAAGTCTCGTCAAAATCGGTCCAGCCGTTCTAGAGATTAGCCGGAACAAACAGACAGACACAAAAATTGTAAAAAAAAATATTTTAGTGTATGTACCGTATATATATTGATATATTTGATATGCATGTAGTAAAAAGCGGTTATTTCAATATTACAAACAGACATTTCAATTTTATTTATATGTATAGATTAAAATAAGACTTGACCTAAAAAGGTCTTAGTTACCAGGTTATAAAAAATCTATACATAAGCGAGAGCGGGTCGCTAGTAAGCTCTAAGGTCTCCAGTATAGTCCAGTAAAGATTGTTTTAGTAGTTACAACATAGAGTTTATTTTTATTTTTACTTTTTATTGCTTTGATGGGTGGACGAGCTCACAGCCCACCTGATCTTAAGTGGTTACTGGAGCCTATAGACATTTACAACATACATGCACACCTTAAGATATAAGTTCAAAGTTCTCAGTATAGTTACAACGGCTGCCCCCGCCCTTCAAGCCGAAACGCATTACTGCTTCACGGTAGAAATAGGCAGAATGGTGGTGCCTACCCGTGCGGACTCACAAGAGGTCCCACCACCAGTAATAACAGTTCGAATTGAAGTAGAGACGTGCGTCGGTTCGCAGCCGTGGCTGGACAACAAGCACACGGTGTTCGGTCGCGTGACGCGCGGCATGGAGGTCGTGCAGAACATCGGCGCCGCCAAGACCAACCCCAAGACCGACAAGCCCTACGACGACATCAGGATCCTGTCGCTCTCCGTCAAGTGATGAGGAGAATAAACTGTTTAAAAACAAAACAAACGTCACTTTATTTATGACCTTTTGTTTTTTATTTATTATTGAAAGATTACTGGTGGCCCGATGGCCTCTCCAGTTTCACCAGGACAGGTGGGCGAGCAAGGGCTCAGCCAGGAGGGAATCACCTTTTGTGTGCTCTAGTCAAGTAGACGAGCTCACGGCCCTTTTTTTTTCTTTCCTTCCTATGCTGATAGCCTTGAGAGGCTATAACAGCTTCTCCTTGACGTGTAGGTGAGCTCACGGGGCTCAAACCGAGAGTGTTGCTAACGCTGGCCTTAGTAAGAGCTGTGCTTCGCAGAATCTACCACCGGATACGGCCCATCTGATGTTAAATGGTCGTCGAAGCCATAGACATCAACTAGGTCAATACCGCCGCCCATGTTTCTATTATTTTATTTATTGCATAAATGGGTGGACGAGCTCACAGACCACATGGTGTTAAGTGGTTACCAGACCCTATAGATATCTGCAACATAAATGCCGCCACTCACTAAGGAGTTCTAAGGTCTCAGTATAGTTACAACGGCTGTCCACCCTTCAAACCGAAACGCATTACTTCTTCATGGCTGAAATAGTGGTGGTACCTACCCGTGCGAACTCAAATGATGTCCTTTCACGAGTGAAAATTTAGAAAAATTTGTACTTTCCTGCGGGATTCTAACCCCGGCGCGGTCGCATTACTCGATACAGATTAACATCTCAAATACTTCTACTGCGAGAAACGTCTCATCCCAAAAGAAAAAAATGAAATTATTTCTATATTTAAACTAACATATAATAAAATCAATCTGGGGCGTAGTGGGTCGCTAATGGGGTCGCTCAGTTCGTTGATTTGTTTTTCAATTTTTCCAGTAGATCTAATTTATAAAAGATAGTGTACATATTTTATGATTATTGCAAATTCTTGAATTTATTACTGTGGTTTTTATTTTTATTTTTAAATGTATTGAATTAATTAATGTACTTAATGACAAAGTACGTAATAGTAGATTTTTTATAACAATAAGTAAAAATAGAACAGTAACATTTTTGAATTTTTGAATAAACTCAACGTAAAATCGAATTTTGAACTATGGGTACTTGTGGCTTAACTTCGGTTCGCTTCGGTATATTCCTTAACGTATGGGCGGCCTAACCACATCCGTCTTCCGGTACGCGGTCTCCATTCTGCAACTATTTGACTCCAGCGGCAATCTGTGACAATTAGTACGATAAACGCATGTAAAAGGAAGACAAATGTCGTAATTAATGAAAAAACCGTTCTTTAACTCTCTTTATATTACCAATAATTAAATATTCGAGCCCGTCTAAAACTCATAATCATGACATCTATTGTTAAGTAGCGGAACTAGGTTGACTTTTGAATGCTAGATGGCGGTGGCAGTACTATAAGTACAATCGAATTTAAAAGAGCAACCTGTGCACATTCATAATTCAGTCATAAATTAATTATTATCATCTAGATCTTATGTATATACTGTATGTTTACTTCTAGTAGTATATAAAAGATAGTTTGGTACTAAGTAGGAGCAGCAGGTAAGTGCTTAAAATGTACGGTATAATGCCTGTCTTCAAAGAAGTGTTTCCGAAGATTGTGTTTAAAAAAGACACAAATTACAAATTATTACGAGCGACTGACATTTAAAAAATTTACATAAAATTCCCTTTCCTTTAAAGTTGATTAAAAAATACACATAAAGGAATCCGGAACAACTACATGAAAATTTGAAATGCAAACTTTATCATCAAACTTTCAATGAGGAAAAGTTTTAGTTAAAAATATAAGATGTGTATATAAAAAAAAAAAACTACTTCTCAAAGAACTATTAAGTCTTATTACATTACGACTGTAAGTGCTAGAACGCCATGATTAACAATATAAATAAGATTAATAAGACAAAATGAATGGTAATGCGATCGTCTCAATTTCCTATCTTATAACAAAACTAGAGACAGTAGGTAGTTTCTAGAAAAATCGTAAACGATTTTGAATAAATAATAATAATCTATTACGTTCTGACGTTGACCTGTTATAGTACATTTATTATGTATTATTCGTAATTATACCGCTCGCACCGCACGTTGGTACCGCAATAATGTTATTTCTGCCACGAATCTCAAACATAATGCACCCATTTTATGTACTTGGTATTATTAATATAAATGGCCACCACGGAGTCATTGATAACGGTTGGAAACTAAGTGATTCCTATGCAATTAAACTTCGACCTCACGTCCATTGTAACGAACACGTTAAGAAGGCGTGCATCTATAAAAAGGTGTATGTCGGCGTTAAACCAGGGTTTTCACACCAAGTTCTTTTACAATGAAAATACAATACAATTCTATAAAACTTTAACACTACTTGTTTATTAGAAAAAACCACGCCTAGTCTTTACACAATTACCCATTTTGTGAAGGTTATAGCAACTACAACTTCTTTTATACAAACAAATGTAATTACTGCGAAACAATTCACAAAATCTAGATTAATATTCACAATACATATTTTAGTGATTTTTACATGACTTTGACATTGATTTATTTTACACAAAATTACTTTTAACTATTGTAAACTAACATTGTTATTATCCAGCCTAATAATAGATGGCGCCAACAACATCATTGCATAACAATTACAATACTTAATTAAATTATTACTGTTAATTATAATATAAAATATTATTAATATTTATGCTTTATTATTATTTAATTATTTATATAGTCATTTCTGTTTTTAAACAATAATATAAACATTAAACATAATCTGAACATTTTCACATCAAAACAGTGTCTGGTAATTATTAAATATGGTAGAATAACAGTTTCATCTTGCTAATAATAAATAAACAATAACATAGAATAAACAAATTATTACCAATAGTGGCGTTTGCGCCCATATGTACATACATAATATATGTGTATACATTTTATGTGTATTTAATTACTCATGTAAACGTAACGGGCACTAAGAAGATACGCTTGGTTAAGCTTAACTCCAGATAAACTGTGAGGCCATCTGCACATCTATGTTAGGAAAATTAAATAAAATCATTTAGAATTCTGACTCCAGTGTTAATGTTAGATTATCCTCGGACTCTCTCTGTTCTAACCAGATGCTAAAACAATACTATTATCATTCGATTGCGATAATAAATTATCATATTAGGCAGGTACACATATAATAATATGTGTAAAATACAATAAGCCGTTACTGATAAGACTTTTTTAATTTGATTATTGTTTTTCGTTCTTTCTTTGGAGTAGGTAATAGATAAAACTAAAAAAGTCCAATTATATCTAGTGTTATCTTATGTGGATTAGTCGTCGAGTGCCTAATCAGTTCTCCTTAGGATAAATATTTTCGAATTTATGATTGAGAGTAGGTATCAGCTGATGGATAAAAATAAAAATAAAAAACAAAATCTTCCTTGGTACCTGAAATTGCCATTAATATCTGCCTATATTCAGCTAAATAAAGCATTTGGGATGCACAATGAAGGTCAATTTAATAACCTAAAAAGAAAACAAAATCTTCATAAAGTTGAAGAATTTAGAAGCTCAATAATTTATTATTTTCCTTGCTTCCTTTTATCTTGTGCGAGCGAGATGAGACTATGCTCTGTTCCATTCGCACTAGCACTGCTGTTCGTATAGCTGTGCTCTTCCCTCGCATTTATTTTCTTGCATCAGGCAACGACTACCCCGCCTTCGCGCCTCGCCCAAATATGCTCGTTTCCATTGTCTGTGTACATTTTTTTTACTTAATTTTTTTTTACTCATTTTTTCATAATGTAAATTAGACTTTTTAATTACAGTTTAACATTTCTTAATTTTAACTGACAACGTTTTAAAAACTTTATATAATTCAATGCTTAGAATGAAAATTAATATTTAAATTGGAAATAAAACCAACCATCTTCCTTTAATTTACCTTACACCTGTAGTGTAGTGCTGTCTTAGACAGATTCACAACTCATATGTAACAAACTAAATTACAGTAAATTCGACATCACACTCATATACATTACGAGTTAAGCATCGCTTTTTGTTACATTTTTATTTGGCGTGTCAATAATCAAGATAAATCCGCGAATTTTTGTTTAGATAGTTTACCAAAATATTAGTATTCAGGGGTGGCATTGAAGTAGTGAATTTTATTGGCTCCAGTAACCATTCAACCACAGATGAACCGTACGCTTGTTAATTTGCATAGAACACTGTAACATGTGTTAGTAGTCTAAAGTAAAAAAAAAACTGCTAAGAAGAAATCTGTAAATGTAAAGAAAAGAACAAATAATTGTCAATGAATAATTTTAATTTTATGTTCTATAAATGTTCAAAACGATTAGCTAATTTAATGATTATCATTATAAGTCCTAAATCGTTAATTTAATGAAAGCATCTAATTCTGCTCTCAATGAAAAGGTTACGACTTCCGAGTTGTAACTTAATACAATAATTAACTGTACGATAGTACTGAATATAGATTCATAGGAATAAATCCCAGCACATAAAACGTATTGTATCATTTTGAGTAACGAGTTTTACACTTTGCGGAACGAGGTTTATTAAACAAGTTCGCTAACGTAAACGATTTTACACAAGTAGTAATTGTAGCGCTGGGATCGGTCCTATTTTGAGTCGTCTGATGTATAAAAATATCGATCTACAACTGGAATACAAAAAGATTGCGCGTTCAAAATATATATTCATAAATGATAATAATTCTAAAAAATACAAAGCGATACCGCTTTATCGGTGTAATGGAAATAGACTTGTCGATTCTCGGTAATCGCACAAAGTCGTAAACAGCCCGATGCGGCCTCGCACTATGCTACGAGCCTCACAGCCAATCCCATACCAGCGTTGTTTCGTATCACGTCATATTAAACCAATGAGCGATAGCCGCCATCACGCTATTTCTAAAAATANTAATTCTAAAAAATACAAAGCGATACCGCTTTATCGGTGTAATGGAAATAGACTTGTCGATTCTCGGTAATCGCACAAAGTCGTAAACAGCCCGATGCGGCCTCGCACTATGCTACGAGCCTCACAGCCAATCCCATACCAGCGTTGTTTCGTATCACGTCATATTAAACCAATGAGCGATAGCCGCCATCACGCTATTTCTAAAAATAGCTTATCTGAGTCACAGCATAAAAGCAATGGTTGTTTCTTAACAATGTTTAGAAACAAGTGGAACGCCACGGAAGGAGGACGTGTGTTAATCGTAGGAAAAAGTTATAAAGTTCGCGTAGTGAGTTCAGTGATACCGAAGCGTTCGGTGCAAACACATGGTTCGGAATTCCGGCCACAGCATGGAGACCACCTTCTATGACGAGCAATATCCTCTCAGCGGCCCTGTGGAAAACCTTAAAAGGCCCCTAACCTTGGATGTTGGGCGGGGTGGGAAACGTTCACGAATCGCTGCACCCGTTCTCTCCTCGCCAGATTTACAAATGTTGAAGCTCGGATCTCCTGAGTTGGAAAAATTGATCATTCAAAACGGTATGGTGACAACCGCTACCCCTACTCCGGGAGCGCCTGTCTTATTTCCCGCAGTAGCACCTACGGAGGAACAAGAAATGTACGCGCGACCTTTCGTCGAAGCGCTAGACAAGCTGCACCACGGCGAGGCAGTGACGCCGCTCGGACGTCGAGTATATGCCGATTTGGACAGGCCGCTAGAGCGATACCCCACTCCCATCGTGAAGGACGAGCCCCAGACGGTGCCGAGCGCGGCCAGCACGCCGCCGCTATCACCCATCGACATGGACACTCAGGAAAAGATCAAACTGGAGAGAAAGAGACAGAGGAATCGGGTAGCCGCTTCCAAATGTAGACGACGTAAGCTGGAACGTATTTCAAAGCTGGAAGAGAAAGTGAAAATTCTTAAAGGTGAAAATGCTGAACTAGCACAGATGGTGGTGAAACTAAGGGACCACGTGCACAGGCTAAAGGAGCAGGTCCTAGAGCATGCGAATGGTGGCTGCCACATCGAGTCGCACTTCTGATCGCGTCGCCATCGCCGCTCCTCCACATTCCATGCTAGTCGCGCCCGCTAGGACGCAGCATACAAAGCGATTTGTGATCTTAATTTTACTGTGTAATATATAGTTAATGAACCCTAGTGTGTAAGGTGTTAAAGTCGCTACGTTAAAGAATGCTGTGGATTTCTGGTTAAGTTTGAGAGATTAGGTTTGCCAGTGGTGTTATGCAGAGAACCGTCGATTGCGGACACTATTGTAATTATTGTTGTATGAGGANCCCGCTAGGACGCAGCATACAAAGCGATTTGTGATCTTAATTTTACTGTGTAATATATAGTTAATGAACCCTAGTGTGTAAGGTGTTAAAGTCGCTACGTTAAAGAATGCTGTGGATTTCTGGTTAAGTTTGAGAGATTAGGTTTGCCAGTGGTGTTATGCAGAGAACCGTCGATTGCGGACACTATTGTAATTATTGTTGTATGAGGATAGTTATGTCGGTGATATTGCAAATATTTAAAAGGAAGGATGTACTTAGCGCAAGTCACAACTTGGAAAGCCTTAGCTTCTGTCGTAAGTTGCAAGATTAGTTTTCATCGTATCAGTATTGAGTTGTCTCATTTTACTTAGAATAGTGTAGAAACTAGAAAGGATAATCTTGCGACGTCATTTACAGACTAAACGAGGTTGATGCGACGTTGCCAGTTTTACGTTTATTTCCCCGTTTCAACGATGTTGCTGTTCTCCTTTGTTGCATTTGTTTTGCCATTGTCTATTGTGTAGCTATTTTTATAAATAGAGTCTTAATTTTAATAATAAAATCTCATTTTGGCTGTAATTTGTACATTAGACAAAGAACACGGCGACAGGCATCGACAGGACCAAAATTTAATACGAGTAAAGGAGATAGCATGGCGTAAAACTGGCACCGGCGCATCCAGCGAAGTCACGAGCGGATGTTCTGCTAATTAAAATTCCGCCTGTGCCGCCCTCGCGGAATGGCGGCCATGTGTTCAACAATCGGACGTTCCGAATCACGTTTTGTTGCACAAGGTTAGCTTTTTACCGCTGCAGTAGTGCAGTATCTTAGGCACTGGCGCGAAATGGAACGTTGTCGATCGTCACGCTTAAATTGTTTGAAGACAAATTGCGCGCTTGTGTGCGAGACTGATTGAATGTGTGCCTTGCTTGTAGTACGTACGAGAGAGCGCAATGTATTTTTTTTGATAGGAAAGATGATTTCACGGAACTGAACCGGTGCTGTATTGTAGAGGACGTGACTTGTAATCTAAAGCCGTCCGTATAAAAACTTATTTTGTGAGAGTTTTCGTATTGTGTGATGTATGTGTGCGACAGAGATTAGACAGGGCGAATGTGTGATGTAAGTATTTATTGGTAAGAATGAGAATGTTTTAATGAATTAGGATGAAGTAGCAATCTCGAGTGCCTACGCTTTGTAAACTAAAGCTATACCTACATATGTTTATTGTTTTTGTTACCATTGTGTGCTACAAGAAATTGTACTGTACCATTGTCTTGTGTAAGTAATTTAAGTAATTATAAAAGCAATTAAAAACGTTGGATTGTTATAGTTTATAGTGCAGGATGAGGTGCGTCTCTGAATTTGTTCAGAGCTGCATCTCCTCTTCCTATTTGTATTATTTTTATACAAACAAATTCTTCAGAATGTTAACAATAATTTGTAAGTTTATAAAAAATAAAGAAACAGTTATACTAAAATATATTATATTTCTATGAATTTAACGTAACAATATTGTTTATAAAACGCATTACGTGTATTGTATAAAAAAAAACAATGAAAGAAAAATAAATTATGAGGATTATTATACCATTTAAAATTTATTTCATTTTAAGAATCTCACACTTTCCCTAGTTTTCCATATGCCACAAAAATATATATCAAAGATAAAAAACACAAAAACAATGTTATTGTGAAGAAAAAACCAAAGTTAGCACGCAATGTAAACTAGGAGGCAATATTACGGCATAACAGCTGTTTTGCTGATTCATCAGCATAAAATACGATATTACGTAAGATCTACATGATGCTTGTATTCATAATCGGGACACAATAATATGTAATATGACATTTGTATCACGTGTGGGGGGCATTGTAAATAAACAATGTCCTAAAGTCTAAGGTGACATTTCCCTCATGTGGCAAATAAAATAACATCTTCCAAATTTAATCACTATATAGTATAAAACAAAGTAGCTTTCTCTGTCTCTATATATGTCTGTCCCTACGTATGCGAAAATCTATCTTGAAAACTACGCGACGGATTTTGATGCGGTTTTTTAATAGATAGTGATTGAAGAGGAAGGTTTATATGTATAATAACATCCATTAGATAGTGGAGAAATCAATAATAAATTACAGTTTCCGTGAGTCGCTCGTGTTTTATAAAAATGAATGACCAGTTCCTACGATTTAAACGTTACAGTTGAAAAAGGGCTTTATGACAATACAGTTGGATTGATAGCAGAGGAGGATGTCGAAAGCCCTGTTCTTTTTATCTCTTCTACGAATCAATTACCTATATATTCCAGTTTTTTAAAGTAGGAAAAGCCTTTATCCAAACGACACCACTCATGTCTCTTAAGCGGTGACGATATTCACGTTCTGTTAACTTTTGTTACCACTAAATACCATATAGGCTATGATCTCGCCTGCATACGCAGAACATTTCTGACGGCATGGAAATAAAGAGTACCGTAGATTAGGGGGAATAGGGACAAATCTGGGTTGTCACAATGCTTTTGTGAGATTTAAATTTGTTGAATTGAAAAGGACTTATTTAGTGTTTAAGAATATTAAATAGTTTAATTTAAAACTAGTTAGTATTACTTTTAAATTATGGAACGTCAAGTATATATCGACGCTTGAAAGGCAAACGTGACTAAGCGACAATAACTGCTTTGTAGTACATAAATGATAGGCAATAACCATATACGATGCGCAAAAAAATATATATTTCCTATTCAATCCTACAGCTAGATTCGTTAAAATATTTTTTTTTTCAGGTATTTCAACTTTAAATTAGTCTACTGTAAAGTTCACGCATTGTCGCTTAGTCACGTTTGCCTTTCAGGCGTCGATATGCTATCGTTTTACTGGAAAATCAAATCAAAATCGAGTCCACGACGAAGGTCATCGGTTTCGTTGGCAAATGTACCCGCAGCGCTCAATTATGCACGAACGTCCGGACGGATGTGACAAAAAACTTAAAAGAAGTAGGTAGGTTTGATTTATTCAAGTGTGTTAGAGAATAATTATGCATGATTATTATACTTGTCTTTGTTCTTTGAGAAATAATATTAGACTGTTATGAATCGTGTACAGACGCGCGACTTTAATGTCGTACCTAATCATAATGTTAATGGTAAGATGGAATGTGGCGACTATATTGGCGTTTAGACAATATAATTGAGATTGCGACCTCAAGCCCCGGGGGGTGAAGGTCACTAAAAACTTTATCTGAACGAATTTATCAAAATCATTCTTACTAAGCTCAATATTGTTCAGAGCATTGCATCGTTCTGAAATTATTTATATGTTTGTAGTTGAAATTATGTTTTGGTTTCTATCATAAATATTATTTTCATTAATATTATCTGTAATACTATATCAGTTGTTGTCATGTGCGAACATTTTATTAGCGTTTTCGTATACAGACATAATATAAAGAAAAAAATATATTTCGTTGGACTTGTATCATTAAAACAAACTTAAGCCTTTGAATATTCGCGATCTTAACTTTGTATACTGTTGTTCCGTGGTAATTCTGCCGTTAGCAATCACACATTCTAGTCCCCGTTTTCGGAACATTATGGGTTAACGGTATGGTAGAGGGTGATAGGGCAAATGGCGTTAGTGTTACCGCACCTAATACGGAGTGGGATACTCGAAGTGGTATCTGGAGGGCGACCCCTTTTGAAGAGAACGGCCGTGCTTTCTGTGGGGTTGATGTCGATGTGCCACTTCCGGAACCACTGTCCTATGGCGGTTGCTGCGTTCCAGAGTCGCCGATGCATTAACGACTTTTTCTAGCACGGCAAAGAGCGTTAGATGGGTCTCCGGAGACCGGGGTATATCGTTGATATACTAACTACATAATATAGGGGAGTAATAAAGCAGATCCTTGCGGGACACCGGGCCTTAATTGACAGGGGCCAACGGCTCGACAAGAAGTCTGGTATGATGAGCACGAGACTGCCCATGTTATACAGTTTGTATATTAAGCCGTTGTGAAAACTTTGTACAACGCCTTCGCGATATCGAGGAAGAGGGCTCCGGTGGGGAAGGATCTGCGTTTGTTAAGGCCCACTAAGATGTGCTGCGTGAAGCGGTACACTTGTTGGACGAACNAATAATTTCTGGTGCAATGTAATTAAGGTAAAATTGCTCTAATTTTTTAACTATCATCGATCATGTTCCGCAGAAACTTGTTACAACTTGATTGCGTACGGTGTGTGGGCTATCCTACGAAATCTATGTTAATTATTTTAAGTTTTTATAACATCATACAGGGTAGAAATATAAACTAATTATTCGTTATTGTGTAGTAAGTGAGTTTTAATTTTAGTAAAATTTAAAATACTATAAAGTAAATGAAATTACAAATTTTACAGCGCCCCCCTAACCCACATCAACGCCCCCCATTTTTTCCTGGTCCCCTTAACGCCCCCCTCTAGGTTTCAAACGCCCCCCAGGGGGCGTTATCGCCCACTTTGAGAAAGACTGCCTTAGGTGAACGAGTTGACGGCCCATCTGACGTAATGTGGCTATCAGAGCCCACGGATATCACAACGTGAACGCCACCATCCAACTCGTGTTGCTACGTACGGATGTTCCGCCACAATCCAGACGAATCTTGTCACAAATGGCCCGCAGGTGTATTTTTTTTTGTTTTACTCCTTGGGTGAACGAGTTGACGGCCTATCTGACGTAATGTGGCTACCAGAGCCCACGGATAACACAACGTGAACGCCACCATCCAACTCAAGACACGAAACCTAAGTCTCAAACGTATAATTCAAGTTATCAAAGGATTCATTGTCAAAGTTCAACTATTTTTTTATTTTCCAACGGAAATATGAAGTCTTAAGGGACTTTGGAGTGCCACCGCTGAGCAAGAACAAAGATTCTTTGGCAACTGTCACCCAAAACAATACTCATCAACTCTTATCTCGGAGGGCTGAGACAAAACTCATAGTTTTTGTTTTCCCTACCTATTCGTTGGTAGGCTAAG